AAAGTGAAAAAATGATTCTAAGCCAATAATTACCCGAGATACTTAAATATAGCCATGAAATGTCAGAAGTAGGTCACCATGACCTCCTTTTTGGTCATCATTCTCTGATATTGTGAGATCCATCAACTGACAAAGTGTGTTATTACATTTTGAGTTCTTGCTTAATAACCTAAGAATCGTATTTATTTATTACATTTTGCATTGATCTCGACGCAAAATGTAATAATGAAAAATGTAATAATCCTAAATGTGTATTGTTACATTTTGCGTTATTAAATTATGCGTTGATTTCGACGCAAAATGTAATAACCCAGGTTTATAATATAGCTAATAAATAGTCTCTAATAAAATGCTACTAAAAATCTAGAGAATTTTAGCGTTCAATATCTTGACATTTCATTGAACTCTGAATTTTTATTACATATATGAGTATGCCAGAAACATTCCAAATACGAGCGTTCAATATCGAACGTCCCGTTGTAAACAAAAAATGTCGTCTGGTCAAATTCTCAGAGTTAAATTAAAGAGAAGAAGTGGTATCTAGGTAAAATGTGTTTATTATTTACTCAAACATAAATTATTTATTAAAAATTTAGTACGTATTAGACCCATTAAAATATAAATAAGTAAATCATAACGCTCGGTGGGGACATCAGAATGATGCGATATTGAACACTTACAGGACAGGCATTAATTTGAATACCGATACTAAAAAAAATCATTAATTTGAGTTTAATTTTAGTTGGAATAATTATCATAATCATAATGAGGAAATGTTTTAGCTATATAATAAAGGAGTTATTGCACTTATATTGGTGAATATTGGCACAAGTTGGCTGTACAAATGCACGAGCTTGCGAGTGCATTTGTACAGCCAACGAGTGCCAGTATTCATCAATATAAGCGCAATAACCCTATATTATTACATTTCGCTTTATCATTACATTTTGCATTGCACCCAAACACGTATTTTTCTTATTTATCTCCCCCTCTTCAGTAATTATCAAATCAATGACAATTAACTTTATCAATTCCAAAAATTGTTCAAAACTTCAATAATTAAGGAATTAGTATCAAGATACAATTTTTTAATAAAATATACATGTACATGTAGAAGATATGTCACACCTGTCCTGCCCCTGAAATGCACGCCACTTTGTGAAAGGGAAAACCACTCTTCTTCATTTTATCTAGTAACAAGTCAAAGGCCTGTCAAAAAATGCATAATATATAAAACATATACAGCATGTACAGTTGCAAAAAAAAAAAAAACATTTCTACTCTTTTAGCCAACATTTTTATTAGTATTGTTATATGTATGGGGGCTGGACTTTAGAATATTGCATATTAATCAAAGGCTGATGGTGAAGTGTTTTTAAGCGATGTAAATTAGCATCCAGTTGTAAATTTTTTAGAAATGTTTTATTGTTCATGTTATTTCATTATCTTATTGTTTACTTGAATTATTGATGCAATACACATTGTACTTCGACATTGTAATGTAAACAAATGCTGTTTTTTTATCTACCATATTACGAACGAATTTACTTACTTATTTCAGCATTATCACATGTGTTGAAAATTGGGCGCCTGCCATCTTTCTTACGATGAAAATAGTCATGTGACATAAACATTGTCGTTTTACAATTGATAAGATCGAAATAACACTGTCCATGTCGTCGAATATTTATAATTGATAGTTAAATGTTATTTTATTGCAGTATTGTCATTTAATTATGTTTTATTTTACGAAATGTATGGGAACTTGAATGTGTAGCGTAATACTTATGTGCATGCATCATTGTTCGGTATTACTACGCCATGGATTGTGTGTGTCCGTTTTATTACAGATTGTTTGTTGAACTTATTTTATTATGTATATCGAATAGAATTTATAGCTCCTACCTTACATGTAGAACAGACATTTTTAGCGATGTTATTTTCTTTGTATTATACAATATGTATGTAAAGTAGTTCTGAGAGGCTCCAGAAAGGACAATTATTCATTGGTTTGTTGTGATCACGTGACCATTACAGAAGGTTATATATATGAGCAGCGAACGCCAGTTTCGGTACAACGATTATAACGATCAGATCTTATTACGTCATCAACATCACTGACTGTAAATTACTAGCGACTTAGGTATGAGAAAATAATGTAAACTATTACAAATTAAGTAGCGTATAATTTCTCCACCACACGGACACCGCAATCCACTGTATTTTATTAGGCCAGAGATGTTAAGCTAGGACTTAGACTCATATAGATGTAGATACTGACTGTTTTGTTATATTTCATTGAAGTCTTTATTAAATGAAATATTTGAAACGAGAAATGGAACTTGGTTATGATTTAGAAGGATGTGAAGTAAATTATCAAGGGTGTTTAAATACATGCGATGGGCTGAGGATGCCCCCCCCCTTTTTATATGTGGACGGATGTCATGAGTAGTCCTGATAAAATTTAATTAATTGAATTTACATGGGATGGAAACACTGTAAGCTGATTGGCATTTGACAGGGTGCTGAGGAAGCTTACAGTACATTTCGTGACTATTCCAAGCTTTTTAAAATAAATTAACTCATAGAGAAAAACATAACAAGAGGCCCATGGGCCACATCGCTCACCTGAGCACTGTGGCTAGGGAAAAGTAGAATTGGATTATTATTGAAAAGTTTAAATCCAAAAGTAGTCCCATAACCAATTATGGCTTTGTTATTCTTGAGAAGAAGATTTTTAAAGAATTTTACTATATTATATTTCTATGTAAAACTTTCGTCGGCCATTGTGGCCCCGCCCTACCCCCGGGGGTCATGATTTGAACAAACTTGAGTCTACACTACCTGAGGATGCTTCCATATAAATATGAACAATTATGGTTTTTTTTTATTCTTGAGAAGAAGATTTTTAAAGAATTCTACTATATATTTCTATGTAAAACTTTGGTCGGCATTTTGGCCCTGCCCTACCCCCGGGGGTGATGATTTGAACAAACTTGAATCTACACTACCTGAGGATGCTTCCATATAAATATCATCAATTATGGCTTTGCTATTCTTGAGAAGAAGATTTTTAAAGAATTTTACTATATATTTCTATGTAAAACTTTGGTCGGCCATTGTGGCCCCGCCCTACCCCCGGGGGTCACGATTTGAACAAACTTGAATCTACACTACTTGAGGATGTTTCCACATAAGTTTCATCTTTCCTGGCACAGTGGTTCTTGAGAAGAAGATTTTTAAAGAATTTTACTATATATTTCAATGTAAAACTTTGGTCGGCCATTTTGGCCCCGCCCTACCCCCGGGGGTCATGATTTGAACAAATTTTAATCTACACTACCTGAGGATGTTTCCACATAAGTTTCATCTTTCCTGGCACAGTGGTTCTTGAGAAGAAGATTTTTAAAACATACCACCAAATTTTCATTAATTCCCAATTATCTCCCCTTGAATGAGGGCGTGGCCCTTCATTTGAACAAACTTGAATCCCCTTCACCCAAGAATATTTTGTGGCAAGTTTGGTTGAAATTGGCCCAGCGGTTCTTGAGAAGAAGTCAAAAATGTGAAAAGTTTACAGACGGACAGACAGACAGACAGACAGACGAACGACGGACAAAATGTGATCAGAAAAGCTCACTTGAGCTTTCAGCTCAGGTGAGCTAAGAACCTGAAACAGTATTTACGAGGTTTGATCCAAACGTAATGTCACAATTTTGATAAAAATTGCCAATAGTTGACATGTACGAATAACGCATTCCAAAATCAAAACAGAAAATCTTTTTTTCTGTTTTAAGCATTTTGCCCTTAGGTATTGACAAAACTCAACAAATAACACAGTTTACAAGATATTTATTGGTGCGAATATCAAAAGTTTAAAGAACGCAAACCATAGTTCACATAGCTAGATTTTACGGAGTAAATTTCCTCCCAAAACTATCACTGAAACAGTTTTTACCAAATTACAATTTGAAAAAGGCAAAAATCTACAGGGTAAATTTCCTCTCAAAAATGACACTAATACAGTTAACATACAGTAGTCAATTCAAAAGCGACTATCCTTGATATAACAAGATTTTACGGAGTAAATTTCCTCCCAAAGAATATCACTGATACAGTATTCACTACAACAATTACAATTTAGAAATTGCAAAAATCTACAGAGTCAATTTCCTCTCTAAATTCACATTGGTGCATTGTACGTTCAGTATTTCAAAGCCAAAGCAACCATCGTTTACATAGCTAGATTTTACGGAGTAAATTTCCTCCCAAAGACTATCACTGAAACAGTTTTCACTACCACATTACAAATTGAAGAAGGCAAAAATCTACAGAGTAAATTTCCTCTCAAAAATGACATTTATACAGTGTAATAGACAGCTACATTTTAGGGGGTAAATTTCCTCCCAAAGAATGTCATTGATACATGTACAGTGTTCACTACTAACATTACAGTTTGAAAAAAAGAAAAAATCTACAGGGTAAATTTCCTCTCAAAATAACAATGATACAATGTAATAGACAGCTACATTTTAGGGGGTAAATTTCCTCCCAAAGAATGTCACTAATGCAGTGTTAACTACTAACATTGCAGTTTGGTAATAACAAAAAATCTACAGAGTAAATTTCCTCACTAAATTCACATTGGTGAATTGTACAGTATTTCAATGCCAAAGCAACCATCATTCACATAGTTAGATTTTACGGAGTAAATTTCCTCCCAAAGAATATCACTGATACAGTGTTCACCACTACAATTACAATTTGAAAATAGCAAAAATCTACAGGGTAAATTTCCTCTCTAAATTCACATTGGTTCATAGCACATTCAGTATTTTAAAGCCAAAGCAACCATCGTTTACACAGATAGATTTTACGGAGTAAATTTCCTCCCAAAGACTATCACTGATATAGTGTTCACAACTACATTACAATTTGTAAGTAGCAAAAATCTACAGGGTAAATTTCCTCTCAAAATGACATTTATACAGTAACATACATTAGTCAATTTAAAAGCAAATAGCCTTTATATAACAAGACTTTACGGAGTAAATTTCCTCCCAAAGAATTTCACTGATACAGTGTTCACTACTAACATTACAGTTTGTTATTAACAGAAATATAGAGAGTAATTTCCTCTCTAAATTCACGTCGGTGCAATGTACATTCAGTATTTCAAAGCCAAAGAAACCATCGTTTACATAGCTAGATTTTACGGAGTAAATTTCCTCCCAAAGAATATCACTGATACAGTGTTCACCACTACATTTCAAAATAGAAAAAAACTCTACAGAGTAAATTTCCTCTCAAAATGCACGTCGGTGCATTGTACATTCAGTATTTCAAAGCCAAAGCAACCATCGTTTACACAGCTAGATTTTACGGAGTAAATTTCCTCCCAAAGAGAATCACTGATATAGTGTTCACAACTACATTACAATTTGAAAATAGCAAAAATCTAGAGAGTAAATTTACTCTCAAAATGACATTCATACAGTAAACATACAGTAGTCAATTTAAAAGCAAATAGCCTTTATCATATTTATATAACAAAACTTTACAGGGTAAATTTCCTCCCAAAGAATTTCACTGATACAGTGTTCACTACTAACATTACGGTTTGGTAATAAAAATCTACAGAGTAAATTTCCTCTCTAAATTCACATTGGTGCAATGTACATTCAGTATTTGAAAGCCAACGCAACCATCGTTTACATAGCTTGTAGATTTTAGGGAGTAAATTTCCTCCCAAAGAATATAACTCATACAGTGTTTACTACTACAATTACAATTTGAAATTAGCAAAAATCTACACTGTAAGTGTCTTATCAAACATGACATTGATACAGTGTATATTGGGTCCTTTCGACAGCTGAACTTTACGGAGTAAATACCCCCCCCCCCCCCCACCAAAAGAATAGAACTGATACACATGTACAGTTTTCAACATATCTATAAAACGTTAACATTTTCAAGTTGACAAAATCTACAGAGTAAATTTCCTCTCAAAAGTGACATTGGTGCATTGTACATTCAGTATTTGAAAACCAAAGCAATCATCGTTTACATAGCTTTTTTGATTTGACCATGTTTACGGAGTAAATTTCCTCCCATATCAGTGATACAGTGCTACCTGCTAACATTTACAGTTTGAAAATAGCAAAAGTCTACAGGGTATTTTTTTTCTCTAAATTCACATTGGTTCATTG